ATATGGGAAGGTAGACTCGTCAAACGTGACATGGCGTGACACGATGATTTTCTGAGTAGTGAGATCATAGCACCGATACCCACGTTGAGACTCGGGATAGCCTAGGAAAATGCACCGCGCAGAACGGGGGGCTAATTTATGAGGGGTAGTGGCGGATAAGTTGGGGTAGCAGAGACATCCAAAGACACGTAGGTGGTTGTAGGGTGGAGGGGTGTTATATAAGGCTTCATGGGGGGTGCGGTTTTGTAAAGTGGTGGTGGGTAGAAGATTAAAGAGATGAGTGGCCATGTGAAGGGCTTCAACCCAAAATTGGGGTGGTAAGTTGGCTTGGAACAGGAGGGTGCGCATGGTGTTATTTATGGTGCGGATGGTGCGTTCTGCGCGGCCATTTTGCTGGCTAGTGTAAGGACAGGAGAAGCGAAACAAGATTCCCAAGGACTCATAAAATGTGGCTAATGGGTTGTTACGATATTCAGTGCCATTGTCACATTGAACGGCTTTGATGGTCGTATTGAATTGATTTTTGACAAAAGCATTGAATTTGACCAAATGAGAGTAGACATCAGATTTGTGACGTAACGGAAAAACACATAAGTAATGCGAGAAATCATCAAGTAAGAGCATGTAAAGTTTAAAACCAGTCACACTGGGAACAGGAGATTGCCATAAGTCTGTATGCATTAATTGAAAAGGAAACTGAGAAATACGACTCGAAGACTGAAATGGTAGGAGAACATGTTTGCCTAGTTGACACGCATGACAAAGAAAATCTAACTTTGATTTATTATTGCTATCTAAAACAGAAGAGATGCCATGGAGCACAGCTGGGCTTGGGTGTCCAAGACGGCGGTGCCATGTTGGGAGGTCGACTTTGGTGAGGTGGAGTTGTGCTGGGGGGCAGGCGTGAGAGAATGGATAGAGGTGTCCGTCACTACTGGATCGATGAATCACGGCTCCCGTCAGGTTGTCCTTCACAGAGAAACCAGATGAGTCAAATTCAACTGAACAGTTGTTATCACGAGTAAATTGACAGACAAAAATAAGGTTGTGAATAATGTGAGGGGATACAAGGACATTGTTTAGGGAAAGGGGAGGGTGAGTTTTAAGGAATCCGTTGCCAGGACCCGTAGTGCTTACTCTAGATCCATTGCCTACAATAATATGAAAAGGTGAATTAATGTTCGAAGGAAATACATGAGATAAAGTACCTGAGTCGGCGGTGATGTGGTGTGAAGCTCCGGTGTCCATGAACCAGGTAGGGTGGGAGTTGAGGTGTAGGTTTTCAAGGCTATGGGTTAGGGCCGTAGGGGAGGGGGGGTGGCTGTAGTGTTGCGGGTAGGGTGAGGTGGGGGTGGGGGTTGCCGGATAAAGAGGTGGGGGTAGGGGGTTCGGGTTTGGGTACTGGGTTGGGTAGTACAGGTTGGGTGTTTGGTACTGGGTATGTGGCGGGGTAGGGTATTGGGCTGGGTTCGGGTAATGGGCCACCTGGGCCTGGGCCGGGTAGGGGGAGTAGGGTCGTGGGCCTAGAAGGCCGGGTGAGGGAGTGGGGAACTGCCAGGTATTTGCACCGGGTTGTCCTTGATTCGAGCTGCCTCGTCCACGTCCACGGCCACGCCCGCGGTAGCCACCAGAATTGCCCCGATTTGATCCTCCGAAACTGCCACGCCCGGAGTTCTGCCCGCTGCTGCCTTGCCGTGACTGACCCCCGCCCGCCATGTTGCTGCTGCCGCCGCCGCTGAAGCTGAGAAGGGCGGTGGACTGTGCGGCGTTGGGGAGGGCGTCGGCCTGCTGTTGTTCGACCAAGAGGAGAGCCGATCGGACTTCCAGGAACGTCGGAAATGGGTTCTGATACTGCAAAAAGTGAACTTGGCCCCGGATGTCATGTGGCAATCCTTGAAGCACTTGTAGGACGAGGGCGTGTTCGGTCACCGGAGCATCTACGTCGTCGAGATAGTCGGCTAGGTTCTTGAGAGTGTCACAATACTCATTTATTGTCTTGGTTCCTTTGACGGTGGTGCGAAACCGGTGCTCCAATTGCATCGCCCGGGCGTGCTTGTTGTCATGAAACAATTTGTAGATCGCTTTCCAGAGTGCCGCGGCTGTAGGGCTGTTTGCGAGGACGAGATCGGAGACCTCATCGGAGACTGTAGACAAGATCCATCCTTGAAGTAGGGCGTCGAATTGGAACCACTCAGCATCGTTGGCCGATTTGGCGACGATAGTGCCGTCAAGATATCCCATGAGATTAAATCGAAGAACAAGGAGACGAAAGAGTCGACTCCATTTTTTGTAGTTTGGCTCCGAGATACTGAGTTGAACGGGGATATGGAGTTTAATGTTTGAGATTGTTGTAAAAGCAAGGTGGGGAGATTTGGTGTTGTTG